CAATGAGGGAATGGGGAATGAGGGAATAGGGAATGGGGGAAGCGGGAATGAGGAATAGGTAATGGGGAATGGGAAATCTTTAAAATGGGAAATATTTAAAATGAGGAATCTGTAAAAGCGGGAATCTTTGAAATGGGGAATCTTTAAAAGCGGGAATCTTTAAAACGTGGAATCTTTCAAAACGGGAATCTCTAAAAGCGGGAATCTTTAAAACGAGGAATCTTTAAAAGTGGGAATCTTTAAAAGCGGGAATCTTTAAAAGTGGGAATCTTCAAAATGAGGAATCTTTAATTAAAAGCGGGAATCTTTAAAACGGGGAATCTTTGAAAGCGGCAATCTTTAAAACGAGGAATCTTTAAAAGCGGCAATCTTTAAAAGCGGCAATCTTTAAAAGCGGGAATCTTTAAAATGGGGAATCTTTAAAAGCAGGAATCTTTAAAAGCGAGAATATTTAAAATGAGGAATCTTTAGAAGCGTGAAATGAAATCGACTAAGTGAATGAGTGGTCTGCGGAGAAGGTGCTCTTTTTTTCAATTTTAGGCCAGTGAATCCGTCAAAATTCATGACTGTTGACACGGGTAAAACTACGCTATCATGAAAGGACACTCAGCACATGTTGTCCACACTCAACATGAGCACGAAAACTATTCATAGTTTCGTGCTTAAAACGAAACATTTTCATTGGTCCAATCGTCACAGTTGTGTGGGAAACTGTCTCGTTTGAAAAATAAACATGCACGAAAAAACGTTCACGCCTCACGGTAGAACGCAAATAGTGGTAATCTGAACGTGTGAGAAGGCTATACAAACGACATTAAACAGGATTTGGCGGAGAATAAATCTTGATTAAAGGTAGTATGTTCGTGCTGAAACGTAAACACAGCAATGTGACGGTGTGTACACAAACTTGCATATTTCACGCTTTAACAACTACGTCGAAGCTGAATACTGTAAACAAAAATACTCCCTGTAGCACGCATTAATTTTCGAAACTTTATACTCGTTTATGTTTCCAAAAAGCTTCTAAACATTTCTTTGCTGCTTTATTGTCTGATATGAAATGTTCACCATAACAGGACAGCGACTTCTACTTCAGTTGGACGATCAATAAGCATAATATTTTCTATAAAAATTCTAGTTCTTTGGTAAAAAAATTGCCAGAGTGTGTTAAAAGTTCCAGCTGCCGCCAGCAGCAGGCTGTTATTTGAACCCTGAAGATAATACCGGAAAACGATGTAGGTCAGAGTATTCAGTCATAATTACTTATAGGGCTGATGGCTCACTTACCATTCAGGCTAATAAAAAAAAAATAATAATAATAATAATCGAGTGCCACTGCTATCCAACAACAAAAAAAATTGTTACGTTTTAAAGCTTCCCGCTTTTAAAGATTCCTCATTTTAAAGACTCCCACTTTTAAAGATTCACCCTTTTAAAGATTCCCGCTTTTAAAGATTTCCCATTTTAAAGATTCCCGCTTTCAAAGATTCCTCACTTTAAAGATCTCCCATTCCACATTCCCCATTCCCCATTCCCATTC